ATTCTAGAATGAAAGAGACATAATTAATATTTATTTTCTAATTTTGTATGGTGGTTACGAGATAGGTCAAATATACTGAAATCGTACAGAGATTCATTACTGAAAATAACAGATAAAGCAAAGTTTTTTCTTAAACATTTGATAACTATCTCAACTTTATAAAGATTTCACACATGAAATCTTAATATTTTCTGATGCATAAAAGTATTTTTAACCATAAAATGAAAATTACTTTGCATGTTAGATAGGAAACACGAGAAAAGAAAGAAAGGCATGAGAAAACATTGCTTTACAGACCTTAAGACTTAATAAAAAAAATTATATTTTGCATGTGAAAACATTGCAATATTTACTGATAATCTGCCAGATTTCTTTGACATCTACTTACTAATTTAAAAGTTATAGCATGAAAACTATAACAAGTATAAAATGGTTATGAGGTCAGTCCCAGGGACCGAGCTCGTACTGAAAGAGTTAACTCAGTTAATTGACATAATAAATTACCTACAAGCATCAATTAGTTTCATGTAAAATAATTAATGATTAATTGAAATTAAGGTTAAATCAATTAATTCATGAAAATAATCAACTAGTGCTTCCAATTATTACCATTTTTGATTATTACATCTACCCAGTAATCACAATTATGATTATATCAACTAATGTCATGAAAATTATCAACTAATAAAAATTTGGGTTTTTTATTATTACTGTTTATAATTTTTCCAACTATACAGTAATCCAAATACAACCAATATGACCTTGCATTATCATTTTCAATAAATTCAAATTTGTTCAGCTAAATCGATTAGTATTACAACTCACAAATGTGGGTGACTAATCAAAATCGGGGTGTCTGATTATTAATATTTTTTATTATTTTAAATATACAAGTAATTATATATTACCATTATGTTTGGTTTTTTAGCACAGAGCTAAATATTGTGCTCTTCACACCCCATGAATCAAAACTCAGTTTGTAATGTTATAAGTTGTTGTTTAGTTTTCAAGTTGTCTTGTAATAATAATAATAATCAATTAGTTGAATGCAATTGATTAAACAACCTGACAATTAATTGATTAGCACGCTCCACTAATCAGTCTAAAATTTATAACCTGTAAACTCTGTCAATGTACACATTACAAACATTTAAAACAAACTTTAAGAATAATTAATGCAAAAAGAATAACTAAATTACTAAAAATGTAACTTTTTATTTATTTTAAAAAAACTTAAATAGTTGTCAGGTCACACAAAAGCTGGAGTTACTTTCATAACTATCCAACACAGAAATTTAAATTTCATACCCATAAGTATCTTAAAACAAATAACTAAATTCCATGAATAATCTGTACTTCATCTTCTCTCATAAGAAAATACTGACTCACTTTTTTTCCTGTAACTGTAGTTGAAAGTTGGTCTGACACATTATCTTCATCTTTATCAAGTGATGTAGTACTGTTTAACAACTCTTCAAATTTAGATGTGTTGAAATGAGAATCACCTTATGAATAGATATCACAATATTTAATACAACAGACAGATTTACCCTTGCAATAATAAAAATATTTGATATTACAGGAAATAGTCCACATTATTAAGTCATTATTACTGTTTTGATAACAATAGGTTTGCTCTCACATAGGACTAGGAACAGAGTTTAGGGAGACCCTTCTAATAATTAAGAAAAACTAACACTTCTTTTGGCCCTCATTATGGAAATTTCAGGTAGCCAATTGTTAAGAGTTACTGGGAAACACATACTGTACATAAACTTCTTAAAATTAGCCCTATAAAATACAATTACCAAAAAGATGTCAATAATAGAGTCGTCAACTTTTTGAAGGCCATAGATAGGCATAAATAAAATATTTTTAACTGTGTACCAGTTTAACGTTGAATATTATTTATGATTTTAGCTGTTTTGATGTTTAATAAAATTGTCTTGTATATGGAATAGCATTAATCATAATTTAAGTTTATCATATTACACTGCATATATGTTACATTTTCATGTGCATCAGTTTAGGATTAAAAAAATAACTTAACATCTAAATTGTTCTACTTGAATATGTCTATCATATTAGATAAAGGTAATTTAAAAACGTCTCTGTAATAACCAAAAAACAAGCTTAAAATAGGAAGACTAATGAGAACAACTGATCAGTAGATATAATCTATCAACAAGCCAAACAATTAATTTAGATACAATTTATTTTCCTTGAAGAATGATACAAGTTTAAAGTATATATGCAAATCTGTGAAAAATAATTAAAAACTGATGACTTATTCAGCAGTATGGATATTTAAATAAATCATGGAGAAAGGAATTACTACATGTATGCTGAACAACCACTTATACATAAACCATATTATGCATACATAAAAAACAAACATACCTATTGAATTAGCTTGGCTGTGACTATGATCCATTTCATCTTCATGATGATCATGAAATGATCCAAACTCTTGAGACTTTTCAAGTTCATGATGATCATGTTCAATGGTTTCATGAAATTCTTTTTCCTCATCTTTATGTGATGATAATTCATAATATTTTAGCACCTTCTGTCCAACACCAAGGTTCTCTAGCAACTCTTTGAACCCCTCAAATGTAATAACTTCATTATGACCATATCTGTCAAAAATTTCCTTCAGGAATATATGATGATCCAATTTCTTCTTCACAGTCTTAACATGATCTTCGGCCTCTCCATTGAGTGACCTAACTCGGCGCTGCCGATGATGGTGATGATGATGGTGGTGGTGATGTCCTTCTGATCCTAAAGATTTGCATGTAATACAGCAGCTAACAAATAAACATGCGCAAAAAAGTCCTGTCATGCAAGAACACATGTTGTGCAATCACAGAAAAACAACTCTTCACAGAAATAGGGAAAGCAGGAGTTGGTTATAATGAAGAATAATTTCTGTACAATCTCCACAACTTTGGAAATGTAATGATTCCTGGGATTCACCTTGATTCTTCAATGTTGTGGCTGAAAAATTGAGAAGTTATTCAAGTAACTTGAACTTCCTAAGTATTCTATTTGGTATGTGTTTGGCACTTTTTTTCCTAATTTCTTTGAAAAAAACATACATCATGTTGCTTATTTATATGTTAATTTACATATTTTTTAGAACTAAATATATGTATATTGCATTCATTTGCTGAAACCTGTAAGTTTAGATTCATTAACAAAAACTACAAGTAAATTTTTCTTTACATCTTGTTTACAAAAAGATCATGGCTTTAAATCAAATCCACATAAAAATATAAACTTATCTAAAAGGTGGAAAAAATTGTATATATGCAGGGCCAAAATAAGATATTAATGTTACCTCATGTAGGAAAAAAATTATTAACCATACAGAAACTTGTAACAAAGTAAACACAACAATGCCATTCAATAGTTTGTTTTTTACCTTTATATTTAGTCATTAATTTAACAAGGGCTTACAAAACAAACAAGAATACAAGAAATAAGTTTTTTTATTTCTAATCAATGGTTAAACTCAACAAGGAAAACACAAAAAATAAATTTCCAAGTTTTTACTACTAACTGTAGGAAAAACTAATATATTAATAAGCTTCTAATAGATAATATGAAACATGAGTGTTCAGTGATGTTATTTGAATCACAAACAGAAGGACAAAAGTACCATCAATTTTATCTATTTAAAAGTCTTTGTAATAAACACTGCACACACACATGGTCTGGTGTTACTTCAACGTACACAAAATAATACTGCACATAATATTCAGAGTTCCATATGGAACCACCCAAAGTCTTGATGTAGAGAACTGGAAAATACTACAAATAAAAACAAAACAAACCACCACTGATTTTCAAAAACAGTTAATGCACTAACTGAAGAAGGCTAATTATTGCTTTTGAAATGTGCATTTATTGAGTTAATAAAAAGGTTCTAAAAAATGTATATGTGATAAAAGTATTTTCAGCTCTACATGTATGAATATGAATATAATTACATATTTTAGTCTTAAACTCGTCTTTTCTTTCTAAAAACTAATATGATGCATAATCAAATTCTTAAAACATGTATAACACCCACTGCTGAACTAAATCACACCTCTTTCAGTTTGAACAGTAATTTATTAAATTCAAAAACACACTAAACCATAAATGTACCACATGTTCATTCAGTTATAGGCTCCCTTAATTTTAAATAAAAGGACCTAACTAAACAACTGCAATGAAACCTCCACAATGTTTACAAAATGATGTATCCACTTGCATTGTATTAAAACCATCAAATGTCAGTATTCTGATGTAAAATTTTAATATTTTTAAAAATGTATTAGTTTTTTGTACAGAAAATATTTTTTTTCTTGTAGAGTTTAGATTATTATCAGTGTCAAAAATAAAAAGCCACATCCAAGTGCTTACCAAACTTCACAAAAATCCAAGTACTTTTAAGAAGTATATGAATATCTGAAACAACTGAGACCAAATAAAGTTTAAAAAAAAAGAAAAAAGTCCACTAGTAATATAAAGCAAGTTCTTTTTTCTTTTACTTTAAAAGGTTAAATTTAAACCATACAAACACGAACATATTGCAAAACAAAATGTCAACACCAAGATACACATATTTTATCAGTGATAACATTGAAAGGTGGGTGTTTAAGCATAACATCTGTTATATACCTCACATTACATGTACTCCTAGTGCCTACAAGTTACTTGTGTAAACAGACACACTTGAGCTACTGTAATAATATGAAAATTATTCTTTCTACCAAACCATGTAATCTTGAAAAATAAATATTTATTTATATAAAGTGGAACTGTACATGACTGTTGTGATTCACAATTAAAGTAACTTCAACGTCAATGTAGCTTCAGTGCCCAATATCCAAATAAGTTATACAAAGAATGTTGAATCTATTTTCACTGTCTTAAACATTAGAATGATTTTAGTAAAGTTTGGAGATAGCTTGAATGGGCAGTGAAGAAAACTCTGTAAGAAGTTTAACAGAGTAACAAATATTCAAAGTTTCAACAAGAGTTTGTCATCATCAGGTCCCTTTGTATACATTTCTAATTATATTAAAATTGTAATAAAGTATTTTTCATTATCCATTCAAGCTATCTCCAAACTTTATTAGATTCAAAGTAGGTTCCTTGTCATAAAAATATAATGAAATAGAAGTTTAACCACTTAATAAGTCTGTAACCAAAATAAAGGAGTGGTGTCGTTTAATGTTATTGCTGTACTTTCAAGCAATTCAAGGTAAACCTATATTCAGAGTTATTACTGTATTTAGCAAAATTATTTAAGATTTTTAACTTGTGGATGATGATAATTTTTTCCCTGGAAGTTTAATTCATTTATTATTTTTATATTTATATGTAATTTTTATAAATGATTTTATTATTTCAAATGATTTTAAAGTTAGAATTGCCCAAGTCATTACTTTAGCACTTTCGAATAGTTGACTATTCTCCCCTCAGGAGAACAAAAAGTTTATTACACTTTATATGTGATCCTTTATGCTAACTCTTTTATCAAGACCCAGTCATTACTTTGGATTTTAGACCAATAAAAAGCCTTTGTATGTAAGAGTATACATTTATGTCTATAACCTCCAATGTGTCAGTTAACATATTTTTCTAGTGGTTTGATTTGTAGCACTTAGTTTGTTGTATCAGATTGAATTCATTTACGTACAATATATTTATCATTTTGAATTTAGTTATCTATATTTACACCAGAAGTTCTTCATAAGAAGCATCTTAATAAATACAGAAATAAAGACTTCCTACAAGTAAATTATTCAAGTCCCTCAGAATTTTGAATACCTGAACCAAATCTCCTCTTGTTCTCCTACATGTATGGTTGAGTAAAAACAATTGTAATTGTTTCAAAGTTTCAAAAAGGCAGACATATAATTCTGGTGCACATTCTTCATAATTATTTTCAGAAGAATGATAATTTTAATTTCCTATAACCAGAAGAACAAATTAAGGAAAATGTTAACTTCCAATATCTTATGGAGGTTCCTATGTGTCAAGAGAGGCACACATCCCCAAAAGAAATGGAATCTCTCATGCAGAAGGAGAAGGTGAGGAGGAGACCATGACGTATGTAAAAAGAATCAGAAACATCACATCAGCAGGAGACCACACCACTTCTGAGCCAGGTATAACCAGAATATCAAATCTTACTCAATATTCCAAATGGAGTCTAATCAGAGTTGTAATGTAAAATTCCTGTTAGCACAACCCATGGTTACAATATTAACATTTTCCTAAACTGAAAATGTATTTCCGAATAGATAATTATCTCTTCTCACAAAAAGCTTTCTCCATTAGTACTGCCCTCTATCTGCACAAATTTTTCAATCACCATTAGCCTTGTAACTCCCACTTCTTTCTGCATGTCTACATGTAAATGATCATGTAGCAACCCTCAACCAATAGGAGCATGACACTACTCCTATTACAACTAGCGCCCTCTCTAATAATACACCTGTTAATCACTTCGAGATTGGCCAAGATCAATGTAATCAATACACCAGTAGTGGGGAGGATGGGTGGGAAATGTGAGGTAAGTATCTATTTGGAAATACATTTTCAGTTTATAAAAATATTAACTTCTGAGACGATATTTTACCTCTTCTCCCAGAAAGCTAGAATCCCACATTGAAAAAGTGGAGGGCCAGTGAGAAGATGATCCTCTTTTAGAAAGTACCCAAAGAAAGCTCATGAGGTGTGGAAAAAGAATCAGAAACATCACATCAGCAGGAGACCACACCATTTCCGAGCCAGGTATACTCATCACTCTGTATTAAATTGTCACCAAAATGAAAGGGTGGAAACATGGAGGGACCCCAAAATGGTTTCATCATTGTGGAGGCCCGCATCCCCAAAAGAGATAGAACCTCTCATGCAGAAGGAGAAGGTGAGGAGGACCCCTTGTAAACTAGCCATTCCACATCTTGCAAGCAACAACTTAACTGTAAGTACTTAACACTTTACACATGCAATGTAACAAAATCATTGCCTTGTTAATGTTCATAATAGTAATTAGATTATAATTTAACAAATACAATCAATTTTTACTTTGTTCTTTTAGTATAAACATGCTAGGTCAAGGTAGTAACTTTTGATTTTCAAATTATAATAAAATTATACTTATCAAACATAAGGTAACAAAAACTTATTGAACATTGTCAAATTTTTAATCAACCATAATCACAACTGGTATTAACTTTTAACTAAAAATAAACTACTTTTCATATGATAGACAAGCTGCCTTTAAGATTATTGTTATTGGATGATGGCATAGTTTTTCCATCTATTTTTCTATATGATTCCAATTCACAATCATCTCCTCAGGCTTGTCCTCAATCCTCTCAGGCTCCTCTTCATCTGTTTCATTTTTTAATGTGGTAAACTCAATAGAAGACTGCCTCTTCATAAGATCTAGATTCATTCTTAAGTTGACAAGTTGAAGTGGAATGTGTGTTCATACATTTGGGCTCCAATCCAAGTACCTCAAGTTAAATCTTTATATTGGGCTCTATATACAATACCATACCAGCCCTCTATGAATTAAGTATGCTGCACTTATATACAGTACATAAATACATATTTATTGAAAGACAATTCAACTGCTGCAGAAAATGAAGGGAAGCTGAAGATATAGACAACTCTTATGTTCAGTGGAAATGACCCACAAAAACCTTTCCCCATCCTCCAGTCATTTCCACACAAATGGTTCACCTTTAAACTCCCAAGTTGGGCAGTGTGTATTCAAAATCCAGATGTTTACATCCATATAAAATAGCTGAAATAGAAGTTTCTTATATTTTATGAACACTCTGTAGGTTTTTTTTTCTTAAGGTTGTTGTATTTTTCGAGAGCAAGACTCACCTATAGGGTATTTAATTCAACAATGGTGATCCATTTAGTAAGAAGTTCCAAAAGAAAGACCACTCACCTGTAGGGTATCTAATTCAACAATAGTGACCCATTTAGTGAGAAGTTCCAAAAGAAAGACCACTCACCTGTAGGGTATCTAATTCAACAATGGTGATCCATTTAGTGAGAAGTTCCAAAAGAAAGACCAACTCTCAATTCTCACTCAGAAAATGTCACTTACCAGGATTCTGGCCTGATTACTCTATCCAGAGTAGCTATAGCTAAAACCTAGAGGGTACATCTTTGGACCAGACTTGTAGGAGAAAGCAATCCAAAGCCCCCAATAAAATTTCTCGTTTAGTTTCAGAAACTTTTCTTTTTTGAGATGTCAAGAACAGCATATTCAAATGATGGAGACTTTGGTCATTCATGTAACTTAAAATAAATAAATCTACACTGTATCTTAACTGCAAAGTATATATCAGCTTCATCATATTAATTATAAAAAAGTTCAAAATATGAGCATTACAACTATAAAATATTATGAAATGATCATGGAATTTCTCTTGATTGTAGCTGTTTGGCATTTTCATATTCATATTTTTTGTTGTTACAACCCCGAACAACTTTGCTACAGTGTTTTCTTTTTCAACTTCGGATAATTTGTCCACCACATACTTGCAGATATCTGTTTATGTATCTAACTGTGGTCTTGTAAGCAAATGATGTAGTACAGTAATTACAAAATTTACACATGACTCATTCTGTATACATAACTCCAGCAATCACAATGAAGGCCCCTTGTGCAAGCTTCTGCTACTTTTGACATTATATCGGAAACTACTATTTCAAAAATTCTATGTTCATTAGAATAATTAAAAGTTGAACACATGTAATCAAAGGCAGCTGACCAGTTAGGACTTTAGGTTATATACTGCTATATTAACTTTCAAGCATGACTTGGATAATTTGTTATAAATTTAACAAACCTTTCTTTATTGGAGTTGACAAAGAAGGGTTATTAAGCAATGCTGTATCTCACTCTAAAAAAGTATTATCTTTCATAAGTTCTTTCTTATAGTGTAGAAGCACAAGACACACTCAAATTGGTTGTTCCTTCTTTATTGTCACTAACACTCTGGCTCTGGTACAAAAATATAATTACTACTATTGTTTTGACATAGTAACATTTCCTACCTGAATATTTTAATTTTCCATGCCAAAAAAAGTATCTTCATTATGATATTTCTACAACTGTTCAAGTGTAGCATTGAGGGCAAATGTTTTCCTGCAATGTATTAACACTTACAGCTTAGCACCTCTGGTATTTTACCTAGTTTTTTATTAGCAGGAATTACATCCAACACTACTTTTATTAATTCTTACTCATTGCTACTGACTATTTGTATTACATTCCATGATCATTTAAATCACAGAACTCACAAAATGAACCATATAAATTACAGTAATGACTATAACTCTTCTTTTTTCTTCAGTCTACAAATAAAACAGCACAAGGAACTTCTGAAAGCTATCAATACATTTCTGTATATCTAGGCTTGCTCACAGAAATGATTTAGATGTTCCCAGCTGTTTGTAATTGATGAAGTGAATGTTGGTCCCACTAACTGAGGGCAGTGAAAATGTTAACAAAAGTAATTCAAGTTTTTCCTTATTAAATAATAACACTATGGAAGAAATATGTTTATTTGTGATGAGTTGTATGTTCACATGACTGAATGCTGTTGATGCTACGTGTGCCTACTGAATGTTAGCATACCTTGTACATAATATGTTTGTAAAAGTCCATCAAATCTACTAAAAAAGATAAATTCACACTATCTTAAGTAGATAGTTCATATCAAAGTGTACTTAAAATAATGATAATAATGAAAAATGGTAAATTCATGGATAATACCATGAGGAAATATTAACGGTAAATTACCTTTACCTGTAAGTGATAACACTGCTATTTTACATCACTACATCATAGCAGTTCAGCAATGGAATAACTTGCAACACTGAAATAATTTTACGAGATTGGAATCATTGGATGAGAATTTTGGAGTTCAGATAAGTATATCAGAAAAGGGGGGTTCTTTATACAATTTGAAGTACAGCAGTAACAAAACATGAGACACCTTACATGTAGATGGGCCAAATGGTCCAGTGTTACCTATTGGAAATGAAACCAGTCTTACACAAAATGGTAATAAGCTTCTAATTTATTACATAACATTTCTACAAATAAGAACTTTGGTCTCATTACTACTGTCACAAAGTGTGTCAGACACTTATGAAGGCATTATGCTTTCTTTTTTTATCAATAACCATACCAACTAACAACACAACTATATACCTCCCAATAATGAAACATCTTTTCAAGTTTAAAAGAGGAACTGATTATTTCCTGAAAAAATAAAGGGTAAGTTTAACATTTATTTTTCTTTAGTATAGGTGTGCAAAGTCAGTCTTGAAGGACCAAATGCAGAGCTTTTGCTGTTCCAGTCATAAGCAAAGTTGGATAACATATAGTCAAGATTTTTGTTAATTAAGTCATCTTTAGATCCATTATTAACCTTTCACCCAAACCAAAAATCTTATCTAATTTGTATTTTTGTATAGAATCTTATCAAAACCTTTCTCAGAATTTAAATAAGATTCAACTAAGATTCATCAAAAAAAATCACCCAATAACTACAGAGCCAAAATTCATATAGCAATGCCAGTTTCTGTTTATTGTATTCTAACACTTAAACAATTAAAAATGGTTTTCAAATTATTCTTTAAATTTCAAATTTACATTGGTTAATTTTCTTTCATTTGGTCATACTGTTAAGGTTGAACTTTGATTAATATATTACACTGTTAAAGATTAAACTTTATTTTCTGGGTTACTTTTGGCACTATTCTTTTATTTTTTGTGCAAAAGTTTTTTCTTGTGATGCTTCGAATTTAAATAAAAATGTTGCTTACATATTTCAATATATAGTATAGGTCTTGCATAACATTATTAAGAACTAAAATTATAGCAAATCTACATACAAGTAAAATAAGAAACTTATTAAGCAATATTATTGGTAGTTATTCTCTTTTTGTGTTAATTAATTTCATGTTTATCTTAACCTGTTAAGAGTTAAATAATTTAGCAATGACGTTATACACAGTAAACTTTATAGTTAAAATGACTATTACTATTATTATCTCTAGGAGCAATATAATCTACGAATAGAGAATTAATATACCATTACGGCATTAGTATTACTAAAAGTGGAGTAAAACTTAAAAAATTTATATATTGCTTATTAGGCTTAACAGCAAATCAAAAGCATTCTAACTCCTTATACAATTCTTCAAGAATAACGTACTAGTTAGAGCAATAAAAACGTATTACACGTATTATTTCTAATAGCTTATGATGTTGTTGTTATTTGTAGTTAGCCAACTTTACCTTGGTCAAAACTTTAAATGTCCCCGCGAGATAATTTTCACTTTAGAGCCGTGTGCACACAATTAAAATGAATATGGCGGACAGCGTGTAAATAAAAAATATGTTAATATGTTAAAAAAGGTTACACAGACGGAAGATATTTTGAAACATAAAAATCAAAACCACCAAAATTTACTGTCCATAGCTAACCATTTATATATTTTTTAATTAATACATTTCATATTTTCAAGTGTCATACAAATTACCACTATAAATGTTTTTAAGTCTTTAATGTTTTTGGAACCGTTAATTTCGCCTTTAACCCGCAATCAAGATACCCCCGAAATAGACGTTTTAGAAAAAACAAACAAAAAAAATGTAAAACCAAAACTCGCAAGGCTTAAGCTTTATTGTTTTTCTTTAGTATTTGACCACTTTCAGTTTCTCATTTTTACTGCAAATAATAGACGATATGGGCTTTTATTTTATTATTGTTATTTTATTCATTTTTACCAAACTTCCTGGGAATAAGCTATCGCATTTAGTCAAATTTGTAACATTATCAATTTATCTTTTAACTTGTTGGAGAACTACATACTACTTGAGTTTTGAAGAATACTACTTTTTTTTTTATCAAACACGTGAAGTATTTGCGGAAAAGGTGACCAATTTCAAGTTTGCCTTTTTTCTGACAAAACAAACACACACACACATACACACAACGGATTTGAGCTTTTCAAAAATATATACATTCTTCAAGCAAATTTCCAAATCTTATATATTGGTGTTTTATCATAATTTCTACCTCTGATTTTCTTTCTTTGCAACAAAGATATATTTGATATATCGGTTCACAAAAAAAAAAACAACAACAACATAAAAACAAACAAACTGCGATGGTTCAGATCTTATCGCTTTTGTCAAAGTTTTTCTATTTTAATTTTACTCTTTTTTTCTGTAGAAGAGATGCAACGGGTTTCAACTTTATAGATTTATGAAATTATTATTTTTTAAGATTATCAAGACTTAAGCATTAGTGTTTTGGTGAAAATTTCGCCAACCTTCAAGTTTTGCAATTTTTCGTCTGCTGGAAGTATACTGATGTGTAAATTCCAATAAGTATTTTGTAAGAATGTTGACCATCTTCAATTTGCTTCTAAAGAAAAATACACCACACTTTTGCCTTTCTTTTCAAGGAAAAATACGAAAGAAAATTTGTATTTTTAATTCTCCAAATTCCAAATGCTTAATCCTTAGTGTGTTTTTTTTCTTGATTGCGACTGTCATAATTTTCTTATGCAAAAATAAAAAAATACCTGATTTTAGCTTTAGAAGTTTTGTTGTTAAGCGCAAATCTATACATACAATGGGCTATCAGTATTGTGCCCTCCAAGAGTAACTAAACCTTCAGACTTACTGCTGAGACAGTGGAGACTACAAAAAAAGGGGAGATGTTTCATGAAATTTGATCACTTTAAATAATTAATTTGTTTATAAACCCCACTTTGGCCATCGCTTTTTTGCAAGAACCTTGAACATCAATAATTTAGTCTTTAATAGAAAGGAAAAACATTCAACTTGGGCTTTAAAAAAAAATGCCATTTATTACCACATTCAATTTTGTATATCTTATGTAAGAAATATGCTTTTAATTTCGATTTTACAAACATTTTGTGTTTTTTTATCGTACCCTACCCTCGTATGGCTAATGTTATTTTTTGTGTGTGAAAAATATGCTCATTCACTCAGATACCTGATTCAGTTTTAAAGGTTTTTAAAGTTATAAAGTTAAAAGTATAATTTTATGATGAATTAAATTCTAATTAACTGTTTTCATGTAACATAAATTTAGTTGATAATTTTCAACATCCTTTCTTGTATTTTCACTGCATCTACAGATCTCAAGAATCAAACATACATCTTTACATAAATTGTTTATAATACGATGTGCATAAATATAACATACACCAAGACATCTTGACTAGAGTACACAAGACTGGTTATGGTTACTCACAATCAACATTAAGCTCTATATTTTTTATCAGTGAATACAATATGGCTTGCAAGAAATAAATTATGTGTAAGTTTCCATATAATAAAACTGAAATTTTGTCTCAATTGCAAATCATTAGAATCATTACATTGACCTATAGCTGTACTGTGATTACAATAACTTTTATTCAAACTTATTTAATAAGAACACAGACAAACATTTTTAGCATACAAGCATCATGTATTAGTTGTTGTGTTATTGCATGCTTACCACTGAAAATGCCAAACTAGTAAAATAAGCTTCTTGGCATGAACTTTCAGTACATTAGTTTCTTCCTCAAAGAAAGTATAACCATAACATATTTGTATACCATTAAAAAAAAGCCAATTTTATTTTATTTTGCTTTCCTGTTAAAAATATCCTTTCATAACTTTTGTTGCACCTTCAAATTTGTATTGTCCAGTGGTTTAAATAACAAATTCTTGTTATTTTATAATAAAGTGTGTTATGGAATCAGTCATGCTTTTTGGATATTTTAAGCTCACCATAAAAGATCATCATAATGTCAATGTTATCTTTTTCATAGACCAAATTTGTTATAATACAATAATGATAATATTCACCACAAACTACTGATTAAAGAAGTGAAAATTCAAATTATATAAAACAATTTACTATAGGTCACTGGTAAGACTCTGTAGTGAAAAGAAAAAAAATCTTTGTGTTATGTTATATGGAGTAACATACATGCTGTCAGCCAAAAATATTTGAGAAGTTTGCATATATCATTAAGCCAAATTAAAGGATAAATGCATTGCCTATTTTATCCTATGTTAAATCAGCTTGTAGCTTTGTATGTATATATGCACCTCCGTATTATTATCCAACTAACTCCTCCTATAGTTTTACAGCTAGCTGGACCAAACATATGACAGGTAGTTTCAGGATGGCCCAGAAGGTGTCCTTATCTATATAGCATAGCCTCTTCATTAAATGGGACTAAAATGTGCACAAAAGGTTACCTATGCATGAAAATGGCCTAATAATAAATTTTTAGTATTGCAAAACCCAAATCTGCCATCAGATTTTGTGTTCCTGGTCCTCCTCAGAAAGCAGGAGCACCATATTTAAAATTGTATTCCCCACTCACATTTGGCATATATGCTTAAGAATCATAGACAGGTATTCTACCAGGGTTTTTTTCTTTTGAGTACGAACTCCCTTAAAGTATCTATCATGTAACTGGGGATTATAGAGGTGCTTAAAGAATACACTAGGGCCTCTGTGAATCATATGGGGACTTTTAAACCCTCATAGTAGAGTACAGGTATTTCATGTTAATATTTCTAATGTCATTCCTAATTCATAAACATCAAGATCTAATGAGCTTTAGGTTTAACCAAACTGATTAAAATCATGTTTGATTTCAAAAACATTTCTGCACATTCCTTTCAATTACTGATTTTGAATCAGAGATGTGTAAAAATAGCATTTCAGAACTGTCTTTTGCCTGATTCAAGTCACTACTCATGATGATCATTGAACTAATTAGATGGACTAGACCACTAGTAGTCAAAAATATATTTCAAATGATAAATTGTACTTGTCTGCTGTATAAGAAACTGAACAGACATAGTGCAAGTTTTTAAGCCTAACACATCTCTAATCCAAAATCCACAAGATAAAAAAAAGTTAACAGTGTACAATGCAAAACTGAGTAATAGTACATAACCAAGGGACAGGTTTCATGCACAATGTACAAAAAATCAAAGCAGTCTGATCAATGGAATCAGAAAATTACATGGTGTCATGTCAGTGATATGATAAAAACATATTCTGTAATAAACTTATCTGTTGCCTCACACATTATTTCATAGCACTCTGATCAATGGAATCAGAAAATTATATGGTGTCACGTCAGTGACTTGATAAAAACATATTCTGTAATAAAGTTATCTGTTGCCTCACACACACACACACACACATACATGTATATATATATTCATAAACTTATGAGTTTTCACTCATTTTGTAAATGTGAAGACATAATTACGTTTCATGATTAAACATTCTGTACTGCTAACCTACACATTAACTTAAATTATAAGTACATGCATTTTATATGTGCTTTTATGTTGTTTCATGAAATATATTTTTTATGCTTGACTGAATTAAAATACATTAACTTTTGCTTATTAATAATGAAAGATTTTTAGTTTTCTGAAAAGCAGTAAACTACATATATGTTCAGAGCTGACTTGTACAATATTACATGATGCATATTGTATGCTCCCTTCTACTATTTTATGGCAGAGAATATTAGTTTTTTGTTTAAATAAAACAAATATAATCTGTGCATATATTTTAATATTTTTTAGTTAGTAAAAATAAAGGGTATGAGGTAAAAAACATGTTTACTCCTGTTACAAGTAAATAAACAATACCAGTTTTTCCCCTTGGTAAGAATTACTTGTACCAAAAACTGTAAAATATACTGCTGTCACTTTTTACAGGACAAAAATATGTAACTTTTGTTCTAACATGTTGTTAGATAATCTCCTTGTCAAAAAAAACTTTACTAAATATATATGAGAGAAATATTTTTCAGTATTTATTGACTTAATGAGTACACATCTGTCAGATTTTTATGTAGGGGCCAGATTCTTTACAGTTGGTGCCTGTGACTTGTTGGCAATAAATTTCAACAATAAACAAACAGCACACAGTCCACTTGTTTTAAAATGTTAGTCACACTGTGGTTTATCACAGTTGTATCCAGAGCTTTAAATAATTGTCTCTTTTTAGTCAAAGCCCACATAGGCTGGTTCAATTACTTTAGAGCACAATTGATAAGATGAATTATTCTTCTCAACTCTATTATAAGAATACAATCTATGATGATTTCACTTTAAAAAAGAGCTACTATACACTCTTTATGGCTAAACTCAAAATCACTCAGTCTAGGTCTATCTATCTAACAAAATTTTCTATGCATATTTACATCCTGACAGAAGTCCAGAACATTCCACTCACTACGAGATATTTTGATGCAATAATACTCAATTAAAACAACGAGAAAAATTCAAAATGTTCTAGTATCATATAGGTATCTGGTGTCTGAAACTACACTGAAATAGACTGTTCACATAGTGAAGGCAGAATTGAAATTGTAAACTGTACTCATCAAACATTAAGGTTTACTATTATACCGCAATTACCTTGCTTCAAGCTTACATATCTAAACACACAGGTATTTTTACCACTATTGAAAATCCTAAAACAAAATAAACCATTCAGCAAACTAGTAACAAAAATTTTTAATCAACTAAAAGATACCCATACAAACATATGTATATATATTTTAGATTTTTTTATATACATATTCATAAAAACTTCAAAAGAATAACTAAAAACTTTAACATTACTTGTTTCAATAGCATTAGCAAGAAGTACACCAACATATATGCTAGATTAACTTTAACTTTGTGTCATATACTATATACCACATATATGTACTTTTGAGTATGTGTCCATATAAGTATTAAAGTTTATCCTCAAAACCTATGGTCCTACTTTTCTCCATTTTTAAACTTTGTTAATTAATTTCTAGACATTCTGAAACTTTTGCTTGGATATACCTTATGTATAATGCTTAGAAAATATTTCAGAATGCTGCATATAATATGCAGCTGTATCACACAGTATAGAAAAGGAAGAAACTTGTGCTGTTTACAAAAATTAACAAATACCTGTAAAACAGTTACCACTTATAAATTCTAAAAGGACAAAAAAAGTCCAGGAAATCCTAATCTTATCCTGTGACTGAAATCAAATTTTATTAAACACAAAATTGTCATCACAACAGATACATGCTAAAAATTTATTCATAATAACATTCTTTGCAGTGAACAGTACAAAATATAGATGATCAATCATTATACACTGAAATTTAATGGCCAAATACGAAACACTTGACCAAACATGTAATATTTATAGATTTTAGCTTCCAACACTAATGTCAAAAAAAAAATATTCTTTGGGACAAGCAATTTATACGTTTTCTAATATAAAATGTGTAAAATTATAATTAAATACACACATTATAAATTGTTTGACATTAGACAATAAAACAAAATAATGTTATTAAATACAAACTCCAATATATAGGCTCAAAAATTATTCAATGGTACAGGTTGAATGTACATGTTAAACATTAGTATCAACTAACTATTTCATCAAGTGGAACCTGTCTGATAGTGCTTTGCTTTGAAATATGGCCAGAAAACAAATGAGTTTCATTTCGGTTGTATAATCATTGTTGTAAAGATGCCTATATATCCATCCATTAATGTCTTATACTATTATACCTTTCTTTCTTTCTTGCTGAGCTCGTGTAATTACGCAATTCTGAGGTATTAGAAAGATATGTCCTACATTGACATGAAGGTGTATAAAATCATTTTATATAAGCATGTTGTATCTAAAATCAGTTTTAAAAACGTAATCAACATTTGTAAGTTATCTTGAAATCACATAAAAAATATAAACTAATTCATAGCTCAAGCACTTAAACTCTTATCAATGGGACACTTCTTTCATTTGGTCCATACATATATTTGATCTTTTGTAGTCACTTTTCATACTTTTTATGCAAAGGCTTCATTCATACAGTTGAGTAAGTTAACTGTATAATAAAGAAAAAATGTGAAAAATCATTTTTAGTCATTCTTCCATAAATTAAAAAAAAACTTTAGAGTTGCAATTTAATTAATAAAAATGTTTTATTTATTAACTTTTAAAGATAACCTTTATAAAATCTTACATTTTGATTTGGGTTGCTTTCACCGTGCTCTGAATGAATATATTAATGTTTGTTAATTTTCTGAATTTTTATGAGCATAATACAGCATTCATATCCCACAAGAGAAAAGATGAAACAGTTTGAACAAAATAGAGCTAATCTTTGTAACTTCAATACAAGAGTAGTTTTACTGACTTCAGCTAATCATAGTTTATCAACCTTGGTTGTCATGGTGCGATTAATTCCCTATATCTCAGATTTGAGAAGTCATTGGCTCAAGATCTAAAAAACTAATTAAAGTCTTCTTCATTTCTTTTCAATTTTTGAAGCTGTGAATTAATACAAATATCAAGTATAAAAATATTTTATTTTCAGAAGCTATGTAATATGAAGAAAGTTTATCTCAATTTTCAAACTATTTCACCCAGTACTTTGTTATTTTAATAAAACAAAAAAAAACACATAACAGATTAGTTGAATCGATGCACCCAGCCATTACAAAGTTAAAACACAAACTTAAGAATTATACAACATGCTTAATTCTAAGATTCAAATATTATTATTGGTTTGAATGTACTGTTAGTATGGTAATGAAAAAAATATATAATGATAAGGCTTAAACAGAATTAAAGTACATTGAGTTTCTAGTAATACAGCTGAAACAAAATGTCTAACTTGAGATTGTGATATGCAGACATATCATGCATTTTCTATCTTCTAAAGTGATATAGAATTTTTGTTTAATTTTCAGTTACTTAGTTTCTGGAAGGTTATGGCAGTTGTGTGGTCCAGAAAGTTGTTACCTTTGCTTACTTCCAGTTGCTTCATTTTTTTTCCTCTAGTAGAAGACGTCTCCTCTACTTACAGGAATGTTTCAGTACTGTATGTAGAATACAGGTTGAAAAAGTTTGCACTAAAATATATTTGGCTGGCCAATTATGATGTTGACTGAAAGTGACAGCAGATCAATACTGTCAGGGAACAGTGGTCACAAGGTAATACTGTACACTGGATAGAGAAAGCAAGTTTACATTCTATATCGAGCGTACTTTTTTGTTCAGTTCTACATGATTTTTATCATGACCAGTTTGGCAGAGATTCGTTTAGAGAGGCAGAAAGCTGATGATCAATACAGGTGATCATACATATGTCTACACAGATATGCACCATTTGTTTTGTTGTATCTAAATATTGTTGTCACTGTGCTTTAATTGTGTTCAGTTTTTTAATTTCATGAGCAACTTAAAATTCTGTCAAATTAGCAACTACAACACATTCCCTTTATTTTTTTGATTGAATCTGCTGTTATTAAGGGGTTACCTGTCTGGTACTTCTCAGGAAATCAGTTTTACCTGAAAATATCATAAGCAAAACATTTATTAATGAAGTAAAAATATATTTTGAAACTAAATGGTTAAGTTAGCATTATATTACTTCTCATTTCACCAACATACTATCAAAGTAATGAGTTTAAAATACTCATTTTACAATGTAGTCTTATGGAATTCAAGTTAAAAAAGATGACTGGGTTATTTATTCAGGTGATTTGGCTTGAACAGTACACAACTTTATAAGTATATGGATGTATCAACAATGAGATAAAAGCAAATTTCTAATTTAAACAGGATGCTATACATGTAAAGTTAATGGTTTTGTTTAAAATGATAGTTTAACTTAACAGATATTAGATGACTTAATAATAAGATAAACACATTGACCTTGAAATGATAATATGATTCAAACAATGCTCTGGACTAAATTACAATACATTTTGTAGCATATGTGATTGTATTGGTAATGTGTTAAAAAACTTAAAATGTTAGATTAATATGTGTATAATAAGATACATAATAAAGTGAAACTTTAAATTTGATGTCACAATTTAATTATTTTTCAAACTACTAACCACACTTAAATAATTATTCATGTTTATCAATGTGTACTTATACACAGTACAGAATTATGAAAATATGTATATATAAAAACACTGGAGAGTAAGTCTGCCTATTACAATTGTAAGTAACTTAAGTTACATCTGTTTTTGGTAAATATATATATATATATTTATACATGGTGTATTTGTTGTAATACTTAATATATATATATATATATGTGTGTGTGTGTATGTATGCAGGAGAAAGACTACAGTAAAATGAATAACTAGTTTGTAATGTAAACTGTTGCATGTTCTTCTTCAATGAAAAAAAATAAATCTTAAACCAACGTAACATGATGGCCTGATGAAAAGTATAATTATTTAGAGATACGTAGAGTAAAATATAAATATTTTCTGCAAACCTTTATGGTAGAAAAAAAAATTTCCATGGATTAAACAATATTGGAAACTGTAGAAAGAAGAAGAAAATCCTCAATATTATAGAACTGTGGGGAGGATAAAGCTTTCTAACCATTGAATCAGCTATGCCTTTCTTACATGGAACCTGGAAACCTTGAATCAGACAGCTGGTATGTTGTGATACTGCTTCAAGCTAGGATAGATGAGAAGCATTGACAAGATGTTAATAGCAAGATTGAGATTGCCTGGCATAACTGACTTTACAAGTATATTGGTTACCAAGTGGAGTATGTGGACAGACATACTATGTATCAGGAGGACCAGATTTATCTGGCATGATTATTGTGTGGAAACCAATATTGGTTACTGGTTATCAGAAGACTTATGTTTGTGTACGTTATGTGCTTGTAAACAAGAAACACTGCAACATACTATTATGGACTGTACGTTTGTAAACCTTTCATCCAAAGGAAAAATACAATCCTTGTGTTCTTCTGGATGCAAGAGGCAAATGGTGTTGGCATATTTGGACATGATGACTTTGCTTAATGAAAATTGAAATTAACCGAAAGATGTACCTTCTTGACGGATATTCAACTTCTTTTTGTAATATGAAATCACTATAGTTTTGTGTTTAAGCTACATTTAATTTAGACTGGATGTAACCCCCTTTTTGGAGCATAAGCTCATAGAAGTCAAGTAAATTAGATTTATATTAGTAGCTGTATTTTTACAATATGTAAAAGAATTACACAGAATGGAATACATATTCCCTCAGCCATCCAATGATTAACTATGTGTTTTTGTTCATCAGGTAACTTGAGATTCCAAGGTATTACAGACACAAGTGAGACATATGCATATGTAGTCATTTGAAATGCACATGTTGTTATCGAAGATAAGGTAATAATACTTACAGACTTTTGTATAAGTTCTCCAGAAGTTTTATTTTATATCAAATACATAGTATAATGTTTTCAAAAACAAATGTATTCAAACAAAGATGCTCATAATTTACAGAAAATATTAGGTCATCAAAAAATTAATGTCGTGTTTTGAAACACTTTCACTAACCAACTCCAAAAACATACATCACATATAATAGTTAAACAAACCACCTAAATGTCACATTAGTGTAGCCTATACAATGTGTAAAGTTTAGTACATTTGGCATGTAATGCTGTTTGAATACAAGAAAGGAAACAATGCCCCTGTTGCCACAAAGTATATCAAAGAAGTTTATGGAAAAGTTTTGAACGTTTGTAAGTGTCAACGATGGTTCAGCAAATTTCGTTCAATTTGATATTGATGCTCTGAAGACACTTGTTGAGTCTAGCCCAAGGCAACACACTTGTGAAATGGCCCTGAAATTACATGTCTCTCATAAAACAATATGTAACCATATAAGGAATATAGAAAAACTCCTTAAGGAAGGTGTTTGGGTGCCTCAGAAACTCTCCGATGATCATTGTTTCGAACATGTGAACGTTGCTTTATCTCTTCTGGCTCGTAATGCGCATGAATCATTTTTGGATAGAATTGTCGCCAGAGATGAAAAATGGATTCTCTATGCGAATATTAAATGCCAAAAACAATGGCTCAGTCCTAGAGAAAAACCACTTCCGACCCAAAAACCTGGACTCCATCCATAGAAAGTGATGCTTTGCATTTGGTGGGACATCAAAGGAGTAAATGATTTCAAACTCTTCAATCCACAGCAAACTGTCAATTCAGAGATCTATGGTCAGCAACTGTAATGATTAAATCAAGCCCTTCATCAGAAACACACTTCACTCATCTATCAAAAAGGTGTTCTTCCACTCCACAACAATGCATGTCCATATGTGCCACGTTTGACACAACATCAGATTATAGAGTTGGGTTGGGAAGTTCTCCCCTACTCACCAGATATGACATCATCAGATTACCATCTTTTTCGTTTGCTGCAACACCATCTCAATGGTAAAACATATGCAAACGTGGAAGGTGTTAAAGAAGACATCGACATGTTTTTTACTTCAAAGCCAAGTGATTTCTCTAATCAGAGCATTAACAATCTGATTGTAAGATGGATAAGAATGGAGACTATTTCATTTAATAAATGTTTGTTTTGATATACAAGTCATTGGTGTTTTTCATCTAAAAAAAAGTGACATTAATTTCTCGACAACCTAGAACTGATAGTTTATAAACTTTAAGTACTAGAAAAAGGAAAAATCAAACTGAAAAAAATTTGAATCAAAGTTCTAACTGAAATGTTCAAAATATGATAACTTTATTACTTTCTCCTAATTAACAAGATTAAGAAAAGAAAGCCAACACTATGAATGGTAACTAAAGTTTAAAATTTTAATTCTGAAGAAAAAAAAACATTTCTGAACAAAGCAGTGCAAGGAAAAGAATGAACCTCTGATTAAATGCTAGCTCATCGGGATTACTGTGCACATTGGAGGATGAAATGCCCTTCTATTGGTGAAGGGCTATAGTCTAATGATGATTAATCATAGAATGGTGCAGTCCACATTAATAAGTGTAGGGATGGGAGCTTTATTCAAAGCTTGTGGCTTGCACAAAAGTCTTCTCAGCAATGGTGTGAGGTAATAGCCCTTTGTTTTGCAGAGAGGTTAGTAACTGTTTCTGAAAGGTACTATGAAAAAGTATTGATTGCATACAGTAGCATACACTTGTTTGCTATATAAACTTTTACACAGCATTTATTTAACACTAATGATATTTGGAACTGGATAAGATTGCAACAGTAATAATATCAGAAATAGTGTAAAGAACAAGTATTATAGTATTATTCTTTTTGTAGGACTGGTAATTCCTTCAAATGTTTACACTAGAAATTAACAAGATGTATGTACACTACATATATAGCACAAAAAAAGATTCACATTATAAAACAGGAGTTTTTAATCACTATAATACATTGATATCATATTCAAGAAACACAAAGCAACTTTTTTTTGCAATCCAAGATGTATGAATTTAGGTATTTTTCTATAATGACAGAATTGAGAAATATCTTCAATAATAAATACATAAACTCCGATGATATCAAACACAATAACAATTATATACTGTCATAGTATTCAACACAAAAATTCTGCTAGCAAACACACTGTGAAGCAAATAAAGGTAATTTTATATTTAATGATCATATAACTATGTTCTTACAGAATTCTTTCTTAATTTGTTACTTTGGTTCATTTTAAGATTTTGAGAAACTTTAATAAGAAAGTGAGCGTGGTATTTGATTTTGGTATAAACTTATGTCTTGAAAACATAGATACTGAAAGCTTAGTTTTATGGTTGTGTTTCAGAAATGAAGTAGGGACTCTGGTGAGTGCATTTGTGTGAAAAGAATGAAAAAAATATGAACTAGAGGTAGGTATTTTACTACCTTTAGCTGAGTGGCTACTGACAGGTGATTCTTGGATAAAAGACCGCACCAAAGGAAGTACTACTTTTCTTGATGCTGCTATATTTCTCTGGTTGAAAGACATCAAGTCAGAAATTCCCAAGTGTAAAGGTTCTAATTCCAGTCCTGGATCTTGGGCTCCTTTTAATGTGTTCACTATCTAAAAACAACAGTATGTTTCTTTTTGTAAAGACATACATTATCCAGTTTGAAAAAACAGTGAGTGAAGTTTACCAATTTAATTCTTTGAATATATTAAAATCATAAACTGTCAATACATTTGTAATTCTTTTATGCCCAATCTTCATATTAGTTCTAGGAGGACAATTTTTACCAAATAAATGAAACCCATATACCACTAAAATCTGTTGTAAATCTATATTAATATACTAAAATGACTATCAATTTTGAAGTTAAAATCAGGATGTATGTAGATACAAATATAAACTCAATTACTTGTATAGATTTTCAACCAGACTCATCTAAAAAAACCTGATTTTTCACTATTATGAAAAATTAGAAAACATTTTAAAATTTTCAGAAGTCACTTTCATATATTTTTGCTGTCCAATTATTATTATCTCTTATGTGTAATTTGTCCTATTATTAGAATGATGTGGACTTCCTAGTTGATCCTATTCAACCAATGTCTTCTCAACAAAAATATTAACCATTTAGTTTTTTAAAAAAGCTATATTTTAAAGGTTACCTCGTACAATGTTTCTATAAAACGACCAAATTCTGCATAACTAAAGTGACCACAAATTGGTGTTTGATATGTAACGGCTCTAAATAAGGATTTTAAATATCTACATGTTTCTGGAATGATCTTTAACTAGGAGCAAATTAAGAAAGAAAAATGTCACAGTAAATCACAGTTCTTCTTCTTCAGAAATAGAAAATATTTAGTTAGCAAAAGGTTTTTTTTTCTTTCCTAACTCTGAATTTAATTCATTTACTTAAATAAGTTATCAGACAAGTGGATTAGATCAACCTTGTGAGAAAATTCGAATTGTCATTGGTATAGAGCTTATGTAAAATACAAAAGTTTTGGGTAACCTCATAAAACAAGAAGAATATTCACAAAAACTTTTAACAAACGTAGGGATAAATTATTGCAATTGCTTGTGCCTAGGTGTAACATACTGAATATATATTTAATTTTTTGTTTAATAAGAATTTTGTTTTCTTGATTAAAATTATTAAAAAACAAATATTTAATACCTTTTCAACCATTTAAATTACAAGAGGTATTCAGAAAACAACAACAACAGGGTATTAGTTGCTGCAGGTCAACCATATCAAGTTGAAACAAGAATATATACATCAGTCAGATGTCATTTTTCAATAAAATCCTCTTTATTAAAATGAGATAGTTTCTTTATCATAGCAGCTCAGTATCATTCAGATGTGATATCATAAAAACCACCTGCATACATTTGCTTCAGACCTTTAGTTGTCCAGATGTGTTTCTCCACTCAGATCATAACTGGGAAGACTACAAAGACAGAATTCACAGAACACTGGGTCAGAACTGTATAGAGGATGTGGAAGAACTGTCTAAATGAACTTTCAAACAACAAGCAATATGGGATCTAGCATTATCATGTTGCAAGAGAACATCCTTTATTTTATGACAAGATGCTTGATGTTTAAAGTGCAAGCAAACTTCTTAAGTGTTACTGTGTAGTGTTTGTACACAACTTTTCTACTTTTTTTTGTTAAGAACCTTATACAGAAAGTTGTTCAAAACAAATGTCACTCACAGTAATTGTTTTTAATTATGCTGCACACCTTTTATTGTGGACAGGTGCAAAATATAATGTCACTAAAAGTGAAATTGGTTAAGTGAAATTTACTTATGTATAACATATGACAAAGAAAAGTATTTTCCTTTGCAAACACCCTTTGAATTTTACTGTAACTTGTTCTGTAAATACATGGTTTTTATTTGTTTTTGTACATTGACATTAAACTGGTAATGGTATAGTTAGAAAAGAACAGAAAGTGATTAATATTCTTTGGCTTAATTTTTACATTTTATAACGCCATTATACTTTATAGTTAAATTTTGTTTTCTTCTATTTTAGAAGAATTTTACAAGTTGATTTTATTGTGTGTGATATTGGTTATGATCTAATAACTCTCTTTTAATGAAAGACATGCATATGGTGAGTTTTTTACATAAATTCTGTAATCTTTGTATGTCCTTTGGAACTGTTGATAGGTTAATTAGAATTTTTCTATTTAAATAAATATCCTATATTATTAGTTTATATTAGGTCATCAAGTAATTAATGTCGCTTTTTTTTAGATGAAAAAACCCGAACAAAACATTTATTAAATGAAATAGTCTCCATTCTTGTCGATGATGCTTTTTCATCTTACAATCAGGTTGTTAATTCCATGATTAAAGAAATCACTTGGTTTTGAAGCAAAAACATGTCGATGTTCTCTTTAACACCTCCCACATTTGCATATGTTTTACCATTAAGATGGTGTTGCAACATACGAAAAAGATGGTAATTTAATGATGTCATATCTGGAGAATATGGTGGGTAGGGGAGAACTTACCAACCCAACAACATAATCTTGTGTTTTGTCAAATGTGCCACATGTGGACATGCATTGTCATGGAGAAGAACACCTTTCTGAAGGGCATTTCTGATGAAGGGCTTAATTTAAATATTCCAGTTGCTGACTATAGATCTCTGCATTAACGGTTCACTGTGGATTGAGGAAATTGAAATGAATTACTCCTTTGATGTCCCAAAAAATACAAAGCATCACTATCTGTGGATGGAGTCCAGGTTTTGGGGTTGGAAGTGGTTTTTGTCTAGGACTGAGCCACTGTTTTTGGCATTTAATATTCACATAGAGAATCCATTTTTCATCACCAGTGACAATTCTGTCCAAAAATGGTTCAAGAGCATTACGCACCAGAAGAGACAAAGCAACGTTCACACATTGGAAATGATGATCATTGGAGAGTTCTTTAGGCACCCAAACATCTTCTTTATGAAGTTTTTTCATATTCCTTAAATGTTTACATATTGCATCATGAGAGACATGCAATTTCAGGGCCATTT